AAACTCATCTTTAAATTTCCACCAAATTTCAATTTGATACTATTTTTCATCTTTTAATTATTTGGAAAAAAATTTTTTAAAGTTTTTAATATCCTGCATTTTAAACATGAAGCCTTTTAGGCTACATTTACATGAACTGTTTGTCCTAAAATTGAGTAAGGAATAGTACCCATATTTAATGATCACTCTGTATAGGAATAAAAGACTATTAAACAGAAATTTTACTTTAAAAAAACCACATAAAAATTAAATACGTACGTGTTAAATCAATAAAATGCATTGGACATGGAATAGAAGCCTCAGTAACAAAATATTTTTGATAAGTTTCATGAAAAAAAAAAAAAAAATAATAATAATAATAATAATAATAATAATAATAATAATAATAATAATAATAATAATAATAATAATAATAATAATAGGTGTTAAATCAGTCTAGTACGTTGGACATATCGTAAAAGGTTCATCCATAATAATTGAAATTTACTAGGCTATGTAGGTATAAGAAAAAAACGTTAATCAATATTAAAAATCATCTAACACAACTTTAGCCCTTTTCTGGGAAGATCAAATAGTTATGGACAAAATTACGTTACGTTGGTGGCACATTAAAAGGGTTTTTCAAATTTTAATATGCCATTGGGGAGTCAAAGATAGCATTTTTTCATTGCTCTTGTAACTATACCAAAAATTTAGCTAATAGTCATGCCCACAAATGATTTAAATTATTAAAAAATATATAATTTAGTTTGACTTTGGAGATTCGTGCTATTTATTGTGAAGAACAGCTTTAAGTAATCAATCAGTAAAACATAGTCTATTTGAATATATTAGTTCGCATAAATCGTTTATAAATAAGAAAAACAATAATGGGTTCAAGTTCGATCCTTGGGGAATCTAGATAAACCAATTTATAAAATCTAAAGCATCCCCAGAAAACACAAATAATTTATAATTCAAAAACCATTATAGGTGTTAAGTAATCCTTTCACGTAGGAAATTTCCCCAAAAAAAATCAATAGGTGTTACATCAGTACAGTATATTGGACGCAATACGTATACAAATTTCGTATACATAATAAAATACAATTCTTGGAACGAGTCACCGCTGGTATCTGAGTTTTTAGAAGTCTGACTCGACGTTTATAATATTCAACGACGATTCCAACATCGTTGGATGTTTTCATGGTGAAGCAAAAGCAAGCACGTTGTGGATGTGGATTCGAACCGCTGCCTGCCTGTTCGTTGTTCGTAGCTTTCCTACGCTACGGTTAGAATTAGAAGGTCGACCTTATTATTTGTTGTATCGAAACTCTCGGCTCGAAAGGCGAGAGCTAGCCCGAGTGAGTGTGTGTGTACGAGAGAGAGGAAAGCAAGCGTTTTATACAAAAGAACGAAACGTAAAACGTACAGTTGTTGTTCGCCTGATATTTACCGCCTTGGTTAGAGAGAGCTATTTCTAGGTTATGATTTAAGCTGTTAGTGGCATGGAGCTGCGCTGTTCGTTATTTATACAGGGCGATCAGAATTATGTCTTCACTATAATTATAAATATCGCTCATGGACAATCAACAATTTTTTTTACGAAAACTTGGAAAATTATATTTTTTTGACACAGGGATAGGTCCAACGAAAAATTGGTTTCCGACACTATAGTCTATTTTTATGTATGAGAGAGTAATAAAACAGCATTTCTAATGCAAAACTTAGTACGGTCATTTTAAATATTTTTACAGAATAATCTAAATATTTCCTAAAATTGTAATAAATGTACCTGAGCTATTACAAGTTTTGGGTCTTTTATTGGTCCTTTACAAACATAAGCTGTACAGAACAATAGAAAAAGGTTTGGACAGGCCAAAAGCCCTGTGTATTAAAGATTACATAGCCGTATCTTAAGATTATTTTCAATAAGTACCTATTTGCCAATTTTGTTTTATTTTAATTCCAAGAATTTCTTACAGTAATCGAATTATAAGTAGATAAATACACCAACAAATTTCACCGAAAATGCGATTATAGGTTTTCCATTTAGTAAGGAGGTCCAAGTTGTATATTCTTGACAGTTTACTAAATGTCGTTTAGTTGCAACTTGCAAGGTGCATTGTGAATTCTAGTGTGATCATGGAAAATTTGGAAGGGCCGCGTAAACGACAAAAAATCGGTCCTTTAACAGTTAATGAAAAAACATTAAATATTTAATTGTTTTAAATCATTTACAGACAAACATTTATGTAAAAGTGTTGATGACACAGTGGAATTAGCAGTACGCTTGGTGTTGGGAAATCTACGATTTACAGAGTTGTTAAAGAAGAGAAATGTGGCGAGTTTCAAACAGCACGTAAAGCTCCAGGAAAACCAAAATTTCAATTAGACAATCTTTTGAAAGAAAGACTTCGAAGGAAAGTGCATGCGTTCTTCTTTAGAAAAGAATTTCCGACAGTAGACAAAGTTCTTGCCACGGTTCGAGATGATAAGGATTACCCTGAAATGAGTCGAAGCACACTATGGAAACTTTTAAAAGAAATAGGTTTTCTATGGAAAAAGCATTCCAGAAAGTCTATTTTAATAGAAAGAAGCGATATTGTAGTATGGAGAAGAAATTACCTAAGGACTATAAAATAAATGAGAAACCAAAGAAGAAATATATTTTATTTAGATGAAATATGGATCAACGAGGGACATAAACCAAATAAATTTTGGCAAGATGAAACTGTTACAAGTCGAAGACAGGCTTTTTTAAATAATTTATCTACTGGTTTAAATCCACATCAGGAAAGGGGCGCAGACTAATAATAGTACACATCGGTAGTTCAAACGGTTTTGTTAAAAGTGGTTTATTGACTTTTGAATCTACTCGTACCGGTGACTACCATGAGGACATGAATGCTGATGTTTTTAAAGAGTGGTTCGAACAAATTATAGATCTTCTTCCTCAGAACTGTATAATAGTAATGGATAATGCAAGTTATCACTCGAGACTTATAGAAAAAATGCCCACAACCAAGTGGTTAAAAAAAGATTTACAGAATTGGCTAAATTCAAAGAATATTAAGTTCCATCCCGGTTCTGTGAGAAAAGAACTGTATCATTTGTGCTCCCTCCATAAAGAGAAATTCAAAAAATATGAAATTGATGAAATTGCAAAAAATCGTTGGATGACGGTGGTTAGATCACCACCATATTGCGAAGTAAACCCGGTTGAACTGATATGGGCACAGATAAAGGGAGAAGTTTCAAGAAAAAATTATTCTTTTAAAATGAGTGATGTTAAACAGTTGTTTTTGGAGGCTGTAAATAATGTGAAGCCTGAAAACTGGGAAAAGGCAGTAAATCATACGATTAAAGAAGAAGAGAAAATGTGAAAGTTGGACAATATTACTGATAAAATGATCGAGCCACTCATTGTAAATATTGGTTGCGACAGTTCATATTCTGATTTCGATTCTGATTTGGATTTGTAGGTAAGAAGTAGTTTTTATATTAAACTTATTATTTATGAACGTAACGTTGTTTAAAAGTCAAAGTTTAAACCCTTATACCTACATAACCCGTTTGACACAATGTTCTTAACATACCTTGTGGAAAAATAAAACATTTTAGAATAAATTGCAGGTTTTTACCTTCAGCTGTTTAGAAGTTATAAGTAGGTTAATTAGGTGAAAATATAAGTGTATACTCGAGGAATAACTTCAAAAAATATTTTAACTGTCTACTAAAAGAAGTGCTACGCCTATGGATTACGAACGCTTTATTATTTTAATACTCTCTCATACATAAAAATAGTTGTATTTTAGGTTTTAAACCATGCATAATTTTTTATGTAGAATATTTTTTTATTCTAAAATTAATAATAAAAAAGTCATTCTACATAAAAAGTTCTTAAAGACTTAGAACCTAAAATTCAATCATCTGATACTAAATTTTATCAGTCGTATACGAGATGTGTCAAAAATAAAAGTACTTTATATTTTTGACGCACGTATACGGTTCAAAAAATTTAATATCTGATGGTTGCATTATAGGTTTTAGATTATGCAGAACTTTTTATAAAGAACACATTTTTTTGATAAAACTGATAATAAAAAAGTTTTTTTATATGTAGCCAAATTACGTATACACCATTTTTTTTTTTAATAAAATCATTTTTGTATTAAAACCCCTATTTTATCACAGTACCAGAATAATAATAATAATAATTATTATATGGACAAGAATCAATTGAAATATGTTGATTTAGTCATTAAAAGTGCTGAAAGGCTAAATAAGTGGAAAAAAGTGAAAATAGCGAAAAAAAAATATGTTAAATATCTTTTAAACATGTAATTCTGGTTAAAAAATACTAAATATTAAAAACCCTATTTTTCCAAAAAACTTGAATACTTAAATATTATAATACAGACAAAAATTAATAGAAAACTCTTGAATTAGTCATTAAAAGTAAAACGCTTAAATAATGGCAAAATAATTTGAATTCGTTAAAGAACCTAATTAAAGCACATTTTAAATATTATTCAAAATACATTAATTATGCTTAAAAAATACTAAAAAACATGTTTAAGTATTAAAAACTCTTTTTTACAGCAAAATTAGAACAATAAATTACTATTATTTGATCAAGAATCAATGAAAACCGTTGAATTTGCCATTACAAGTGTTAAAAAGCTAAATTTAAACACAAATATTGCCAAAAAGCCAAAATAGAAAAAAAATTTGATTGACTAGAAATGGAACAATTGTAGAAAAAGAATAGTATTCGACTCGCAATAATAACTATTATAATATGTAAATAGTAACGTTTTATTACACCTTCACTAATTTAAAATAGAAAATTATTGAGGTGTTCAAACATTCATCATATCTTTAAAACCTTTAAAATAGGGTAACACATTACCCATATTTTCATCAAAATAATCTATGAAAATTTATTAAAGTTCAAAATTTAAAATATTCTAGGTTAATAATTATTAATTTTATTATTAAATTTTCTTTTTAAATACCTTTAATCGGAGTATGGTTCAATCTTTCTTCTAACAAAAATACCCAATGGCAACTTGATTAGGGCATACCTGAAACAAACAAAAAACAATCGTCAATAATTATAACAATTTTAAAGAGATTTAATGTCGCGATGACCGGATTGTTAAGGCAGTGTGCGTAAAATGCGGATAGGTGGGTTCAAATCCCGCAGAATTTTTTTAATATTTTTTTTTTACTTTGAGGGTTTAAAAATATTTTTTATTTCGCAAAAGTTAATTTGTAATTTAGTTGGGGCTTTCCAAAGAATGTATATAATTATTATTATGACATATAAAATGGATACTTTTCCTTCGCTTGTCCTTGATATAATTACATTGTAGTTTCCTTTAAATCTCATCAGCACGTATTTTTTCTAGAGTAAACACCTAATAAAATTCTTTTCGTCTTATCTAAAGCTGAGGTCTCGGTACATAATGTTTGTCAGAAAAAAAGTGGTGGTATATTTAGAATCAGCGACTTAAATTTAATAAACAATATGTGACATAAGTCATTCATCAGTCAAAAAGTGTAATTTTGTTGGCCAGTGTAATCAATATTTATTGAATCAAATAAAAATCAATGTTCCAGTGGCAGGTATTCGTGCGAATAATCATGGTCCATTAGAAAAAAATTGTCTATTATTTAACGTACATTCCGAAGACATCACTTGCAGTATTTTTGATGTAGCTATAAGCACATACAGAAGAGAACTTTCAAAAATTATTAAAGTAACATGATTTTATAGGATATTCGTGGCTTTCGTGTGGGGTTTGCTAGCGCTCTGATTATTTTATCATCTCTAGTTATTTCAGCATTTTTCTTTTTCTTTAAACTTTGATAAAAACATTTTAGAAGCGATGTTTGCTTAATATAAACAAAATTAAGTGTATTAATTATACAGTGAGCATCTTAAGTCTTACCCCCCCTAACTAACTCGTTACTGGGGTCTTGTTAGGAAAATCACCGAGACAGGTCGATTTTTAATTTCTACAATGTACATTTTTGCATGATTAGTTAACCCTTAATTTCATCCCTTACTGGAGGGTAAAAACCCTTTCGAAAATTTTAAATGGCATGGGGTGGTGAGTGATAGCTCATTTGAAAGGTGGTTTTATTCTCTATTCAACCGTCCAAAAAAATTTTGAAATTTGCATCATATCATGTTGATTTATCAATGTTTAAAAATAACAAAACCTCACAAAATAGCAAAGCAACTAGACTAACAGTGACCTTCTAATGGCAAAAAGTCTTACTTCACGTCTGAACCAAAACCGAAGTCATGCAGGGCCGAATTTTAATTCTAAGGATGAGTGCGCTACGTTAATTTCCGTTATTCTGAAACAACAATTAGTCGAAAATTAATGAAGCAAATTTCAAATTTTTTTTACACGGTTAAATAGAGAATAAAACCCTCTTTCAAATGAGCTATCACTCACCACCCCATGCCATTTAAATTTTTCGAAAGGGTTGCTCCCCTCCAGTAAGGGATGAAATTAAGGGTAAACTATTCATACAAAAATGTACATTGTAGAAATCAAAAATCGACCTGTCTCGGCGATTTTCCTAACAAGACTCCAGTAACGAGTTAGATAGGGGGGTAAGACTTATGGTGCTCACTGTATATTGTGTATTTTTGTTGATTTCTTTTTTTGTTAATAATATTATAGAAACATGCAATTTGGCTAATGCCTGTTTGTTTCTAAAAATAAATAAATAAATAAATAAATAAATAAATAAATAAATAAATAAATAAATAAATAAATAATGCATTTTAATTATTTCCACGTGGTTTCAGTTTTGTATTTCTGTATAATTTTTAATTGCGCTGCTTGTTAAAGCATTGAATATCTAAGTGCGGAAAAAATAATTGTTCTTATAGTAGTCAGTGATTTTGACTTGTTACGTAGACAGCACGCGGTTCAATATTATTAAATATTACGTCCAGCGTTAGTTGTATAAGTTTATGTAACACTAATTTGTATAATAACGTTTGGTATGTTCAATATTAAAAGAAACGTGAAAAAAAAATGGTATTACAGGAAGAAGTACAGACAGTTGCAGAAACCAAATTTTGACTTTACCTTTCAGGTTTAGACGCGAAGTTGTTTGGTTTATTCATCTTTGACTGCCTTTTAAAAAATGTACATTTACTAATATCAATAATATTTAAATTGAAGATTATTTGAACATTAGATAATGTTTATTTATTTAATTTATTTGTAGACTTATATTTAATAATTTATTTACAACTTAACACTAATCTATCTTAAATACTTATTTTCTATATCAGCCTTATTGAGGTGAATTTCGGATAACTGTGATTTTTTATGTCCAGCATTTTATTTATCGTTTAACATAAGTTTTCTTCATCAAAAGTTATTAATATTATAAATTTAAAGGTATTTTACAACCGACATTATGATCATAAACCATCGCAAATTTTTTTTAAGCTGCATATAAATATACTGAAAATATCAGTACTATGGCATGTCCAATTCTCATTTTTGAAATTAAATATATAAATTTCTATTAAAATTCATATTTTAATATAAAATGTACCTCTTATTACTACAATCCAATGCATAAATATTGCATTGAAGTTTATGTCAATTTTATACCAATCTTTCGATTGGTAAAAAAATAATCATTTATATATCAGTACCATGGAAATAATGTCAGTACCATGGCATTAAAATTTTGAAAGTTTTCGTTGTATTGTAGCTGTAGTAGAACCACTTTACAGGCTTATTTCTGTGCATAAATAGAAAACATTTTTAATTTTATAAAATGTAAAAATCGCAGTTACACGAAAATCACCTATTTATATTTCAAACAATAGATTTTTACACAACTACAGCTCATTTACATAAGTTACTCGTCCATGCATAACAATATGACACCTTCGTCAAAAGCTGCATCATTCTACTGTGTTCTAGACTGTTGATTGGCGTTGTCAGTGGGTTTCGAGGGGTTGACTTATTTCTTTAAATACCTTTGGTAATCGGACATGTGGTGGCCGAAATAAGGGAGAAAGGGACATAAGGAATAAGAGCTTGACCAGATTTGTCGATAATGACTCGCACGACAATAAGTTTAATACAAAATCGATGGTTTGTGTTAATTTTATTTTTCAGATAAGTTCTCTTCACTATATTTCACAAAAAATTAATCCTGGACTAAATTAAAGCAACGCTATGTTAAGGGCAGATTTTTTCACCTATAAATAACGGTACAATTAGATTTAGAAATTAAGAAAATTGTTAGTAGTAGGAAAGGCTTGTTATCCAATTCAGATATACAACTTTTTACTTTCCTATCTGTATACAGATAAGGAAAGTATAGGAATCATGATTTTTTCGACCTCCAGTTTTCGACGGTTTTTGACGTTTTGGGATCTCCTGAATCCGTTTTGACTATTTTCGGGATGATGTCTGTGTGTGTGTGTGTCGTGTGTGTCTGTATCCACCATAACTCATGAACCGATACGAAGAAAAACACCAAATTTTAAACTTAAGCTTTATTCCGGCGTCCAATGAAGTGATTAGATTTTGAGCAGAGTCGGAACATCTTGGGAGGGGGGGGTACTTTTATATTTTATGGAAAATATCTGTTATTTACGTTTGGAGAAGAACATTTTTCAAATAAAAGTTACTTACAATATTATTATCAATATTTTTTGTTCTATACAAAATTTTCCAAAAATGGTCCGTATTCGAGAAATTTTACAAAAGGTAAAAAAATATTTTTTTATAAAAAATGTTCAAATAAAAGTTGTTTGTAATATAATTCTCTATAATTTTTATCCTATACATAATTTCCCTAAAATGGGCCGTATTCGAGATATTTGAGAAAATGTGTACATTTCGAATTTTGAAGAAAACTCAAAAACGGATAAAGAAAAAAAAACATTCAATTTAAATTTAAGTTTTATTTCGGCCTGACGTAAAATGAGTAGATTTTGAACAAAAAAAAAAAACATTTGGGGGGTACTTTATGGGAGGATGTTTTTATATTTTATGGAATATATCTGTTATTTATATTTGGAGAAGAAAATTGTTCAAATAAAAGTTACTTCTAATATTATTATCTATAATTTTTGCTTTATGACAAATTTTCTTGAAATGGTCCGTATTCGAGAAATTTGACAAAATGTACCAAATTCAGATTTTTAAGAAAACTCTTAAACTAAAAGTTATTTGCGATATCGATCTCCACAATTTTTGTTTTTACATGATTTTTCTAAAATGGACCGTAATGGAAAAATTGGAGGAAAAGTGCTAAATTTAAATTTTTCAGTATTTTCGTTTTCAATGAATATCTATAGAAAAATGTTTCGAGTTAGATGTATGTGGAAAATGTATATATTTAGTTTATCCTCTAAACATTTATAGAGGTGCTACAATAGGTTGTACAAAATAACCGGAAAAAGCCTATAATAACTAGATAGGAAAGTCATGTGTTGGACACATCAGATTTTTATAAATGTAAAACCAAAAAGGGAAATTATTATAACGGGTGTAATTATAAGTCGGTAATGCTGTGCATATGGCACACCCACTTCACTTGTCAATAATTATATCAATAGTGATTTTATTTAATATTATGTGTGCTATATTTGATAAATGTAATTAAAGTCATATTTTATTATAATTAAAATTATTTTCATTTTAATATTAAGCATAATATACTTGCATCTACATTATTATAACCTTTAAGAAACCAAAATTTTTAATATTGATTAAAATTTAAACATTTTTGTACCAAAATCCTTCTCATCAAATTTTAAACAACTTTTAAAAATGTTCGTCCATCCGGTGTCACGTTTTTTGTCCCCACGATAAGTCAAAAATGAAAAATTTTGGTAAAAGTCAAGCTCTATAAGGGGCCTAAGTCTATTGATTTTAAAAAATCTGTAAAAAATGAAGGGGGTTAAGGGAAGTTGAAATAAAAAAAAATAATAAAAACAAAAAGCGATATTGGCATGAAATTTTTAGTAAAAATCAAGCTCTATAAGGAGATGAAAGATATTGATCCTGAAAAAAATTTAAAT